AAGACTACTCGTGCCTACTGACCAACTACCTACCCGTGAAGTGCATGGGAACTTCCTATGTACTACCAGGTGCCTCCTAACTGCAGGCGAGGCAGTCCAGGAGGCTGCTCTTGCCAATGCCGAAGGGAGGCGGGGGCTGCAGCTCCTGCTCGAGCTGGCGTGGGGAACAGGCTATTTCTGGCCTGTTCCCGAAACCCTGTTTTCAAGCCTGAGTCTTAGGTAGGTCGAACACAACGAGGGCCTGAAAATGGCCCTCCGTTTCAGGCTGAAAAGCCTCTGGGCCTGAAAGGCCCAGAAATAGGCTGAAACGGAATAGGGCCTGCAGGCCCTCGTATTTCAGCTTTCAGGCTGAAACGACCGGGGCCTGTATGCCCTAAGTTTTAGGCTTTTAGGCTGAAAGTGCGGGACGGGCCCTGCAGGGCCCGTGTGGCTACGCAGTATGCCACAACAGCCAACCACCTCCACCCACTAGAGAGGAGTTAGAACTCCTGCAAGTAGAGTTACTCCGCTTACAGCTAGAGAGGCAACTCAGAGATGCAACCAAAAGACAAGATCAGATTAAAAATCTTAAAGCTAGATTGGAGAGCAGAGAGGCAGACAAGGCTGCATTAGAAGGGAAAGATGAATCGACCCTAGATGATACAGGAAAGATCATCCGGGCGAATCTGCTTAATATGAACGAGTATTTTGACAGTTGACTGGATGACATCCAGTCAAACCTTGACCAGATACTTGGGGCCGTGCAGGGAAGGGGTGGGCCACTACCCCCCATACCAAGTGCATTGAGGACAGCAGCAGACAGTCTTTTCGTCGCCATTTCCTTTACCGGTGATGACAGGCCCCTTTGTTCCACAGTTTGGTGTCCCACCAGGTGGTACGTCAGCAGTAGCAGCGCAGACTATAGCTTCTTCATATTCAGGTCCAGCTGCTGCAGCTTCAGGGCAGCAGATAGTTCAGTCATCGACTGGACCACAACAACCTTGGTACCCGAAGACCCGAATGAAACCCCCAACTGTCTTCACAGGAGACAAGAAGGACGAGGCCCTCAGCACTGGGTTGAGGACGGTTCCATTGTGGGTAAGGGTCAAGTGTACACTGCGCGAGGACATGATCACCGCCGATTCTTATTTGGAAGAATCGGCAGCAAGATGGCTGAATGGGTATATTGCGACAAAGTGCCTTGCCAGATGGATGAACGACTGGGCGCAGACCCAAACACTTGAAAGTCACAACCCTAAGCAGGCTCAACAAGTCACTAATGAGTTGACCCATCTTGATACTAGGAAGTTCAAGACGGCACAAGAACTCACAAGTGTCGTGGAGAAAACGGTAGTAGTATCGGGAGTTCGCTATGATCCACATGTCCTCTTAATCATGTTCTTGAGATATCTTCCCACAAACATCCAGAATAGGTTGGTTAGTGAGGCCAGCATTAAGTATCACACCCTCGAGTCTTTCAGCAACAAGACCTTAGAGAGGCTAGGTTGGGCGGGGCTCAACATGTAGCTGAGGATAGAAGAAAGAAGAAGATTCCACAAGAGTGGAAAAAAAAGGGAAGTCGTTTGATGATTGTTGATTCTGATGGGAGTCAAATCGAGATCGAGATCGACATCCTTTCAGAACTTGTGGAGGAGACAGAGACAAGCAGCGAGGAGAGTGCAGAGGGTAGCAACCTCGCCGCCATGTACAAAGAAAAGGCAGTTGGCCGCAGGAAGGGCGGTCAACAAAAGAGTCAGGTGCGGGCCCATAAACAAGACTCCGACTTGGGTGAGGGCTGGCCTGGATCAAGATGTGTATGGGGGCCGATATTTGCGATGGGCTTGCATTAACTGCGGTGAGTATGACAAAGTGCAAAAATGTGAAGGTTTCTCAAAAGATTGCGCCCAAAGGTGGTTTTGCCCAAAGGTGGTTTGGGAGGATCTTTCGCCCAGAGTAATGCTTCTAAGAGTGCTAACTCGGGAAACACATCAGGCTAGTAGAAGTTATTGCTGCTTCTACTCAAGACGAAGTGGTTAGTATACCTTCACCACGTCAACAGCTGGCTGAAGCTATTGACTCTTTAGTCACCCCGCAGGCACATCTACACCAAACGACACTCTGTTCGTTGGATGTGTCTGAAGCCTTAGAAGACTTAGGAACCGACTGGTCCGCAAGGGACCCCCACGAGTCTTTGGTGGCATTGTCCAGAGGTCCTGGGGAGCATTTTGTTGTAGAAGTCGGTGTAGGTGGCTGCAAGTGTGGTGCCTTCATAGACATTGGCTCTACACGGAACTTCAGAAGTTGCGACTGCATTGATAGACTGCGCCTAGGGAGGCGTGGTGGTGGTAGTTGGAGTGGAGGAGGTGGTCGAACGGATATGGAAGGGGGTGGAGTTGTAGTTACCATGGTGATGGGCGGAGCTTGTTGCTCGAAGGCGGTCATGCGATGGGAGAGAGCGGAGATAGTGGAAAGTATGCCGGTGAGGGAGGTTTGGAAGGTGGAGAACATTTGGAGGGTGGAAGAGAGGTCGGTGGCACTGGCGGGGCCAGCTCGTTGTTCGCCAGCAAATTCGAATAAATTCTATTAATCCACGTCGGAATTAATCTCTTTATTCGAACTCATTATCCTTTTTTTCAAAATTTGAAAATCTTCCTTTTGTAAAATTCCTGCAAAATATATATTTTTAATTTCATCAATTATTCTTAGAAATTTTCAAATAAAACCCTTCTTTTTTTTTTTCCCCTTCATTTTCTCCAAATCCTCTTCATTTTGTAAATAAAACCCTTCAACCCCCCCAAACCAACACCCCGCGCAAAGCTGCTGAAGCCGCCGCCGCCTCATCCGCTGCTGCCACTTCAGCCGCTGCCGCCGCTGTCACCGCTGCCATCGCCACCACCCCCATGGCTGAGTCTTCCAGTATCAACATGTCCCCCACGCGCACCCACACCGTCGTAGTCTCATCCGTGAATTTGCAGGCGAACAACGAGCCTGCCCCGCCTTTGCCACCGACCTCTCGGCCATCCTCCAAATGTTCTGCGCCTTCCAAACCTCCCTCACCGGCATACAAGCCCCTATCTACGCTCTCTCCCATCGCATGACCGCCTTCGAGCAACAAGCTCCGGCCATCACCGTGGTAACTACAACTCTACCCCCTTCCATTTCCGGATCGACCACCTCCTCCACTCCGAGCTCCACCACCATGCCTCCCTGGAAAAAACCTGTTCAAGCCTACGGCACACCCCCTGCACCCAGCAAAACCCCTGCCCCTCGACCCCTCCCTGTCTGATCCGCTCTTGCCTCTGTCTCGTTCCCCAATTTGTCCTCTGCCACATACTTTGTCTCTCTTGTCCAAGCCCTACCTGTGGCTCCTGCGCTGGTTGGCCACCATGCTGTCCCATTGGCTGGCACCTGGACTCGCAGACTTCTGGAGCAGCACTCTTGACATGGACATCAGGATCAGTCTGCGACCTGCGACCTGCTATCCGAATCAGACTTCATCATCAGGATCGTGTACATGACGCACCCTGGCACTTGGACCTTCATCTATTGGACTGCTACACTACTTCTTTCAAGTTGGAACCCTCGCTACGTCACGTCGCAAGCCTGCTGAAGAGTGCTTTACAATTTTGCAGAACCTGCGATTTCCCCCCCAAACCCCAGTCACTCCGAGATCCTCAGAAACCCTAACCCCAGAACACTGCAAAATAATTTTGTACCTGGACTTACATCAAGACCTGCTTCAAGACTCTCAGCCAAACCATTTTGCAGAACCTGCAATTTCCCCCCCAAACCCCAGTCACTCCGAGATCCTCAGAAACCCCAACCCCCGAACATGCAAAATAATTTTCCTTTCTTTATTTTGCTCACAGAACCCTTTCGCCCAATGGTTCATTTGTACGACAACCCTGTTCCCGCCTCAGATCATAACCCTGTAGTCCATCAGTAGGATAACCCTGTTCCCCTGCAGTTCCTCACCCTGTAGTTCATCACTAGGCAAACTATGTTCCTGTCAGTAGTCCATCAGTATGCATAACCCGTAGTTCATCAGTAGGAAAACCCTCTTTCCCCCAGCCCTGGTTTACCACATTATACCCCTCCCCCTTTCTCTTCCTGCTTCCCAGTGATCGGCCCCGTCCCGTTCTTCACAGGATTCAGCATTATTTTCATGACTTTTGGCAGCTGGGACGTTGCCTTCTAGAGGGAGGGAATAGTGTTACGGACTCCGCCACTCGATCCCTGGCCTGCGGATTACCACCTGCCAACTTGCTGTATTTGTTCTTTTTTTTTTTTTTTACAATTTTCATATTTCATTTTGTTTTTACTTTTCTGATTTCAGACAGTTGGCGCCATCTGCATTCTGGGGCCCCTTTTCAAAATCCTTTTTTTGGGACTTTCAGATTCAAACACTTGCGCCATCCGACATTCTGGCGCCCACTCTCACACTTTCGATTTTCAGTACTGGCCCTCGAGCATTTGCACTTTTGCCTTCAGGACCATACCTGAGTCCGGTACTTATGTCCGGACTCAAGCCCAGTACGGGCACCAAGTTTTCAGCCTCAGTGCTTGTGTTCAGTGTGACTTTGCTTCGACATTGTGTTCAGGAATTCAAGACTGCGACTTTGTGACTTTGCCACTTTGTGTTTGCGTCCGTCGAGTAGTGTCGAGTCTGCATCGAGTTGAGTGAGCGTGTGTGCTCTCACTCTCCCTCCCAGCCTCGCTGCTCTGCCTCTGCCTCGTCACAGTGTGTGTGTGTGTGTGTGTGTGTGTGTGTGTGTGTGTGTGTGTGTGTGCACGTGTGTGTGTGAGAGAGAGAGAGAGAGAAAGAGAGAGAGAGAGACCACAGTCAGGCATTCTATGTAGGTGAAGACGGCAGGAAATGACGCATGCCACACATCCTAATTCATGCAATGATTCCACACCATCACTTTGTTGAAGTTATTCACTTTCTTTCTTCCATTTCTTTTCACTCTGTGATCCCTGTTCATCCATTTCCATTGGACAACTTATCATTCCGCCCTTACCTTCTCCAGTCGGTCATGCTGCCAACCGGTCCTGCTTCTTGCGCTCCATAATCCTCCTCTCCAACTCTGGACGGAAGTGGCGAATCAGCCCCTGAACAGGCCACGCAGCAGCATCACCCAGTGCACAGATCGTGTGCCCCTCAATCTGCTTCGTGACCTCTTGCAGCATGTCAATTTCCTCAAGCTGAGCATCACCCACCTTCATCCTGTCATCAGCAGATATCCAAGCGCGGCGAGCATAAAGAATAATGCACATACGGAAGATACATCAGAAACGGTTTAGCAGCCATCCGTTCTCCATCATACCAAATTTGACCAGCTACGAACCTGAGATCAAGCACGATGTTATCCCACATCCACAGCAAGAAAAGAGGGATAGAGCTGGAGAGAGAGAGAGAGACTGAAGTCACGGGCAGGAGGGCATGATCGGACAGCAGGGGGGGGGGGGGAGAGAGACGCCTGAAGTCAAGGGCAGAAGGGGATGATGGGAATCGACTGCCACAGGACACAAAGTGAAGTGAGCAGATCAAGCAAAGTTATAAAAAACAAAAAACATAAACATAGAAGACGACAATGAAGATGATCAAGCACTAGGCTTCCCAATCTGTGTAAGGGATGCCACGGACACCATGAGCGCCTAATCTGTGTTCCTGGAGTGCGCTACGACCCCTAAGCCTTACTTACCACTTACCTGAGGTGTCTCCCCATAGAGCTCAGGAATCAGTTGGCAAGTGAGGCTATGATCACGGTCCACAACTTTCCCTCGTTCAGCAAGAAGCCCCTAGATCTAGAGGCAAAGATCGGGCATGGGCACCAACCCACTACGGATGGTAGGAAAAAGGCACTGCCTCCTAAGTGGAAGGCCAAACCGGTAGACGCCGTGGAGGTTCCCGGTCAAAGAGTCAAGTAGACCCCAATGTTCCTCCATGGGAGAAAGCGGGGCTTACCGAGGACGTGTGGAGAGATCGTTACTCCCGTGCAGCTTGTATTCGGTGTGGCCAATATGGTCATAACCAGTTCAAGCGCCGGAACAAAAAGGTAACAGAAAAGATCCTGCCTACAACGGGACAGGCGCCGGTCTCCTCCACTTCCCAGGGTAGCAACGTTGCCAGAAGTTTTGGCACTGCCTCGGGAAACACATCGGGCCAGTAGGAATTATAGTTGTTCTGGTTAGGGTCGAGGTGGTGGACACACCCTCGCCATCTCGAGAGATGGCCCAAGCTATTGACTCTGTTGTCGTCCTGCAAACACATTCTGACCAATCGATCCTTTGTTCAATGAATGTGTTCGAGTCCTTAAAGGAGCTAGAGGAGGAGTGGTCTAGATCGGACCCACTAACTTCTTGGACGGCCATGGCTAAAGCTCCTAAGGGTGAGTTGTTCGTTGGCGAGGTGGATATAGGCGGCCTCCAGGCCTAGGCATTGATGTTTGAAGAGGAATTTTATCAGTCGCGCGTGCGTTGAGAGGCTGCATTAACAGGGGCAAGTGCAGCGCCTGAGTCGACCTGTGGAGTCGACCTGTGCCAACAAACAGCGCATGGTAGTCGCCGACTACCTTGAAGACATTGAGTGTCGTTTCCAGTACGCGGGAGGGGAACTGAGACATCGAGTCTCGTTCCTAGTCAACGATGATCTCCTAATGGATATCTTGTTGTGTATGAACTATCTTTCGGTTGCATAGCCCCAATTTGACTGGGACCGAAAAGTGGCCAAACACACTTTGCCCGGAGGGGGGACCACCAGATTACGTAAGTTTAAAGCTAGTAGTTTGACTGAGTCCTACGGATGCATGTGTGGGGGCACGTTTTATAATTATTATAAGCACTTAGATGACCCATTGAGGGTTCGCCCACAAAAACAGAAAACTAAAAAGCATAAAAGAAAGAAAAACATAAGGATCTGCCCTTTCATATGCCGCTTCTTTCACAAAAACAAAAAGAAGAGCCTGAGAGCAAACAGAAATCCGCGTGCAAGAAATAAGAGGGAATACCACCGAACCTTTTTCGTTTCTTTATCTGCGAGTGTTTTGTTTGGGAAGCCGCTTCCTTTGTAGCATCGTTTTTTTTTTGTGTTGTGAAAGAACTATGAACTTTTATGAAAAAATCATGTCCGTTGTCCCGTTGACGTTTTTGCTAAAGATTCCTATTCAAACTTTTGTTTGCTATCTTCTCTGAATATGGTTGTGATAAAGCGATCTTGCATGTATGCCCCTTGCTTACTTGCCGAGTTTTGACTCTATGTGTGCAAGTGCATGCGCGTGTGGATGAGTCTCAGTTTGGTCGGCTCCAAAACTTTGTGTGCAAGTGCATGTGCGTGTGGGTGAGTCTTAGTTTGGTCAGCTCCAAAACTCTTATGTGTGCAAGTGCATGCGCATGTGGGCGAGTCTGTGCTTACTTGCCGAGTTTTGACTCTATGTGTGCAAGTGCACGCGCGTGTGGGTGAGTCTCAGTTTGGTCGGCTCCAAAACTTTGTGTGCAAGTGCATGTGCGTGTGGTTGAGTCTCAGTTTGGTCAGCTCCGAAACTCTTATGTGTGCAAGTGCATACGCGTGTGGGCAAGTCTCAATTTGGTCGGCTCCAAAACTCTATGTGTGCAAGTGCATGCGCGTGTGGGTGAGTCTCAGTTTGGTGGGCTCCGCTGATGTCATTGATGACTGGCCCGGGGAAAAAGTTGTTGGAAGTTGCCTCCAACTATTGGAGTGCCACTGATGTGAAGCAGGTTTTGCATTGTATGAATGAAACAATCAGCAGCATTCAATCTGCTTGGCAGTTGCTCTTCGCGTGGGGTACTTGTCGAGAGTAGCGTTGACACGGGAACCATAATGTCTCGCATGCTCATTTTGCAACATTTCCTGGAAGGCAAAAAGCAAAGAAGAAACGAAGTAGCACGTGCCCCCCCC